CCTAATAACTTTTTTCATCTACTTTTTTCATTTGTGAATTTTATAAATATTTCTAATGATAATCGGTGAAAGTGCATCTTGGAAACTGTGACGTCCATGCGTTATTCATGCTATTGACGATATTTTTGAATCAGATACACATCATCCGGAAAAAGCAATTGCTACAGTGATCGAAATGAATACGATACTATCAGTTAGTTTAACACTACAATAATATAAATGTGTGACTGAGCTCGAGCAGTTCTCATGAAGAATTTTCCACACATCAAGTCGAGTGAGATTTCAACTTAGATTTAACTCTGAAGAAGATGTGGTAAGGAAAGAAACACACTGTCAAGTTCGAGCATTAGTGAAGCCAAAAACTGAACTTCTGTCAGAGCAGAGAGTTCAGAAGAGAGACAGGAATCTGCTTCTGTGTGCAATCTAACGCAAGCAAATGCATTCATGTAGACTTTGTTAAATTTATGCAAAGTTGTGTAGAAATGCATACAATGAGATTACTGGGTCAAAGATCAAAGTATACCTTATGACGAATAGGTCAGAGAGTTAACATTTCGATTTTTGACCCGACGACATTTATTCACAACAGAAATGTAATTCTGCTACACTTAGGTGTTAGATGGCGGAAGGAAGTTACTCCATGCTCTCTCTATTGATAATAATCATTTCTTGAGAGTTTTCAAGTAAAGTGATGTTGGCTAGCGACGTGTTCACAAACTTGCCTGTCTCATTCCTCGTAAAATTATGGATGTGTGTCGCAGAAGTCATTAAAGAATCTGTAGTCATTGAATGTCATTAATTATTTCCGCTTGTACTGCGAACCTCAAAAATAAATATGCATGGATTTCCCTGTGTAAATAATGTAATAAAAAACGGCCGACCAGAATTCATTAATCATTATCTCTTATCTTAAATTAACTTTTTATTTTAACGTTACTTGTTTGGTAGGTCACGTAATATAAAGGTAGTATTTAAAGTAACTTTATCGATTCACAATTTCGCAGTTTGCAGAAAATGAATAGTTTGGTGTTGATTCTTTTGTTATTTACTTACAATTTGATAATGCTCATGAATGGAACTTTAGCTTCATGAAGTGATTGTACAACATGCAAAACTCATGAGAACTTCAAAGCAAATTTTTAAAACTGTTTATGAACTTTCAGAAGATCAAACAAACCCTCCAGCACATACATTTCAGTATTAGAGATTTATGCATCAATTCACTCCAACGACATTTTTATTCAATCTCTAATAATCAATTTCGTAGATAATATTTTTACATTAATACAATCGTCAACCAAAATATATCTGAAAAATGGCGGGCACAATCACCAATGTATTCTTGAAGAGAATATTTGAAATTACAAAAATATACGCTCAATCTTTAAACGTCTACATACTGAGTGATCTTTCTTCCCCTCATTGAGCATCTCCTTCTCTCCTTCTAATACAATACACAGTCTTTCGTCTTCCTTTTTGTATTTGTTTACATTTCCAATTATATTATCACTTCATGCTAAGTAATAGTACGAAACAATATTTTTTATACCAGAAAATTCTCACTTTGAGAGTAAAAACGACTTGCCAGGAAAATAAATAAATAAATAATTAGTAATTAATTAATTAATAAACAAGTAAATTCCTCAGTTTTGCTGTAATTTTTTCAGTGCATCTCACATTGTTTAGCACCTTTTTGGCTATTATGTATCAGTGAGCCTCTCTCTGTTAAGAGGTATATCTGCTTGCTCACTCGGCAAAGGTAAATCATAAGTTCTCGAACTGATATCATCTTCCTGATACGGCTGTTCAGTTCGAATAGCTCACATACTTACACTATAAAAGCTTTTCTCCAAAGCGACATAAATCATCGAATTAATTGCAGTACTGTATTTCTTTCAAAGGAAAACTAAACCTGCTATAAATACTATGAATTTTTAGTTAAAAATCACATAGTATTGTAATCTGTTCATTTATATATTAATGAAGTTAAAAAAGTACTGTAACACTTACTTGCATACTAACTTCTTTACAAGCATTGATGTACTGTAGATGTTGAATTTATTGTATAACATTATAAATTGTGATTTTCAGTCTGATATGACTATTTCCAATAATGGAAGTTCGATGTGGTCATTCTTGTATATTAACATCTTACAAAAGGGTAAATGATGAAAAAAAGCCAAATTCGTTGAACCATCTACTACATACAAAAACTTATTTTCGATATAAATACATAAAAATTGAAAGTCAGAATTACTTTCCTTGAATGGAATGTCAGAACAAGAATGATTAATTTTTTATTACCATAAAACTGCATTATTAGATCACCAAACAAGCTGCTTCAACAAGCTATTATAAACTGCTGTCGCCAAAACTTTTAAAACACAATCTTGCATATTCCATTTTCAAAACAGTCTTCAATTACGTCATAAAAGAGTAAAGTTACTTTTTCCATAGTTAGTAGTTTCTCACATTCTCTTAATGCGATGAAAGCACAATACAACAAGAATTTATTGAAAAATTTGCTTACTTAAATTTTAACAACGAAAAGGAATTTTTGCTGCAAAGATTATTCTCTAAATATGCAATGAATTAGTAAACATAATGACGTAAAAGTAATGAAGACTGCGTAAATGACAGTAATGCCATCCGAAAGCATTCACTGGAATGGAATCTGATGTAAGCGTCAATTTCTATAAAATCAATTCTGCTCTTTATCAAATAAATTAGCTCAAAAATATTGTTTTTTGATTTGATTTCAGTAAACAATTTCTGATTAAAAAAAACTATATTACTGCAATGATTTAGTGAACACAACTGTAAATACAGAAGATTTTTATTAACATAAATGACAAGCGGTGTGCATTAGAATACACAAATCAAGCAATGGTCTCAAAAAACTACCAAATAATATATGCATAAAATATCTTATCCATTCTTATCTCCGCACAGTTATATTACATGAAATTTTCAGGCTGATATTAGGCAAAAAGTCGCAAAATTGAAATGTTTAGTCGTGCAATCCAAAACAATGCGTATTTTTGAATGAATAAGATTCAAAATTTATTTATATTGATAAAAACTCATACACGTCAATTTTTTATTTCCTGAATATAAAATATTGCAAAGAATTTGTTTAAACGATCAATGGAATGCCATTTTTTCGGTAAACAATACGATGGACATTGATGATTGGATTTCCTGTCTCATCGCTTACTGTACTCCACCATTGAGATCGGCTAGAACGGTCAAGAACAGCAGTATTATCATGTTCAACAAATTTCATAGGGCACAACCCAAATAAAATGACCTAAAATTAATATGATTACAAGTGGTACATTTTCAACTTCCATGATGATTAAATGCAAAAAAGAAAAAATTTTTTGCACATTTTCAGTATTGCAAATTAAATAATTAATCTAGGCTTGTCATTTATGTTCAATAAAAAAAAGCAAAAAAAAATACATTAATAATTGGAATGCGAAATAGAAATTATTGTTCAAAAGAAGTTTGATTAAACTTTCATAAAGTTTAATTTTTCCTATAATATAAAACGCTAGTTTGACAAACATTCTAATAAATTGAATATTGTCCATGAGAAATTTGAATTAATAATGATAAAATTTATAATAATAACAATAATAATAATAATAATAATAACAGTAATAATAATAAGAATAAATCAGTTCGGATTGCCAGCTCACTGCTAAAATTATAGCTATGCTAGAATTTCATATTGAAATGGAAATTGAAAAGACAATGTATGACAAACTTTCTGGCATAATTTCAGTTCGCTTCGATCAGCTAGTCCACGTTGACGATGTTCTACAAATGTATATTGATTATTGAAGAATCCAGAAGCATCTAATACAGTAAATGATGCTAATCTTCCATCATCGCTTTGAACACCAACCGATGGTAAGCGCCGAATTTTCGCTTTGAATTGGTCACGTTCACCAAATGTTGAAAACTTCCAACACGTTGCTACTATGTCAGCATCGCGCTATAAAAATTCAATACTTTGAATATTTTAAAAAACTTTTTTCAATTATAACACAAATTTTTTACGTGTGAATTTTGGTGTTTGTTCTCAATTTCAGAAATCTAAACAGACCTCGGGGTCAAGTTCAACAAATGAATAACCCTCAGCAAGTTTGATATTCATTTCAACCACTTGCTTCTGCTTGTGTTTTTCAACAATAAAAAAATTAGACAAGTAACTAGCAGCCGAAAAATCAAAATGAGTTGAAAGTACTTCTGACATTCGACTGAAATAAATAAGTTCAAAATTGTAATCTGAAAACCATTTTTAAATGCATGAGAAAAAAAACTTCAGTTTCTTTCAAAATGCTTAGTTGAATCTTAGAATTATTTAGCACAAAGCGTTACATCTAAAAAAGTCATTGCAATGTATATAAAGTATTTTTGATTTCCCGTAATAATATTAATAATCGAATAAAAAAATACTAAGATTAGGACAAATTTTAATAATTATTATTTTTTAAATAGTTAGAAAAATGAATTCATAAAAATGAGTGGTGAATAGCCTACAAAAATATTGACTTTATTTAATTACTTCGAATTAAAAACATGACCTGCTCAAATGAATGCCAAGTATTCGAGCAGCAAACTGATCAAGTTCAAGAAGGTACGGCATAGCATGAGTCAAAAACGTATCGATATCGTTTACGGCAAGAAAATGCTGCGTACGGCTACCAGCGAACACGTGTGCCCTAAAGTAAGCTTACCGGTACACATCCACCATTTCCTTCTTCACCTTTTCCTCCTACATCATCCACCAGCATTTTCAGCATTTCCCGTGTCAAACAATATCACTCCTCCTTTCTCCTTGATTTCTTTATTCGTTCTAAAAAATTAAACGCCTATTCGGTCAAACACGTACTTAAACCTTACGTGTGTTGAGGTCGTCAAAAAAATTAAACTCAACTTATCAGTGCTGACAACAGCATTTTACCGCAAGAAATGTGTCTTGATTATTTAATTTTCAAAAAAAAAAGGAACAAAAAACAAAAACAAAAATAATCAGAAATACTTTTTAATAAATAACAAAAAGAATAAATTAAATATAATAATATAAAAAAAATAGGTTGAAGGAGGAAAGACAAAAGTCAAAACTTTTTCCGTACTCAATAATGACCTCCCTTGAAAATAAATGACCTGGTAAACTTGTTGCGCCGAATTACCATCCAGATAAATGGTGTTTCTACTGGATATCCCAATACGGTACATTTAGCTTCTGGGAAAATACCCAAACGTTCATGTCTAATAGAGTAATGTATAGGTAATAAGTACACTGAATCATTTGTAAGTAATTCAGCTTCTTCCAAGTCTTCTGATGTTTGAAATACTTTAAGCATTTCAATTCAGCAGCTAAAAAGCTATTGCAACTATGCAACATTAACAAAAACAAAGTAATTAAGTACTTCAAAATTTAATTAATAAATAATAAAGAAATTGAATTATTTCAGAAACTTGCAAATCACTTTTCATTGAAAATTTTTCTAAATTAATTGAGTATTTGAGAAAATTGAAGCATTTTATATAATGGTTTGTTTGAGTGTATCACAAACAAATTGTTATTTAAAGCAATTGAAAATTGAAAAAAAATCAAAGGTAGTAAATTAAGCCAAATATAATCCTGGACAATGCATTACCGTACAAGAAGAAGCTTCAGTGCAAACACACAGCTTCTTCAAATTATGAATCTCAAAGCAAACTCAACAATTAAAATCTCAAAATAACAAAGAGGTCAAAGCAGAGTTCATTTCAAGACTAAAATAATATTTGAAATAAAGGATTATTTTATCGATAAAATGAGAGAAACTTTTGAAATAAATATTGGCACAGCACAAAACGCAAAATAATTACATTTGGTTGCTTCTCAGAATTGCTTGAAAGCAAGAAAAAGCAGTACCACTATTTTTGGAATGGCAAAGATAAATGAATTGAATGATAGAAGTTGGGTTATTTAGTACTCGAGAGACCTTCCTCTTAAGGAATCGAAGATCTAAGAAACTTGAGCTTGTTCTTACAAAAATATTTCAATAAAACTGAAAGTAAGATAGCAGAGCAACAGAATAGACTAGACTAGCTGAAAAAGAAAATAGAATTACTTTTTCTCATTTCCCAAAATTGATTCAATTTTAAGCTCAATTTTATTCTTCTGCTTTTTCTGCAGCAGTAAAGCAGCAGCACATTTTTATGCTAGAACGAAATGGTATAATTTATCTCTGCTGCAATATTCGAAGCTCCTCAATGACGAAGTAATTTGAATTTGCAGATTCCAGCTGATTTCCACGAAAAATACGCATTTAATATAACTTCTGATTCCATTTATAGACTATTTATTCAATTTTAACAGCCATTAGATGAAAATTTTATGCAAAAATAAAATACACTAATTCTTGCTGAAATTTTTTTCATTTTGTTTAATTTATTAATTGACAAGAAGAAATTTGTATTCTCTCTCTACTCATTACATCAATAGTTTTCTTGCTTTATTGAATTACACAAAATTATGCAAATATATTTTTGAATAAATTAAGAAATGATTTCAACAAAGCGTGCAAATTTAGTGAATTATTTTTAATACGAATAGAACATTTATGCAAACAATAAGTAACACGTAAAGGATTTAATGAAAGTTTATACTTGTCAGTTAAAATAGACGCAATGAAAAAATATTAGCATATGAGGCTTAGTATAACAATAATTAACCAAAATTTTAGTCGTAATCACAAACTGAGTATTTATGTTTTTAAATGCGAAACTAATTCAGTGTTTTTTTAATCAATGACTAGCAGTTTCATTTTTGGGCAACATAAATTATTTTGATTCTAAACTTTTTAGCAGCTATAATTGACTGATATTATAATTGTTAAAAGAATAAAATTAAAATTAATAATTAATGATTGATATTTATTTTTAGACATCAAAATTGAATGAATATTTAATAGTTTTGACCTGAGAAACTAAAGCTTATTTTGCAGCAATAAATAAAATATACACAAATTATGAATTTTAAAAGAGTAACACAAAAATATTAATGGAATATTTCTGAAAAAAGCAATGCATAAATAAATCAAAAATTTGTTTCCTTACAACAGAAAAATAATTGTTTAATAATTTTATCCTGAGAAAAGATTACTTCCGTTGCATTTTAAACTTTCACATATCAATTCTGAATTATTTTAAAGTAGTAAAGTCAGTTTTTCTTCAAATAATTAAACAATTTTGATTTGTGTTATGTGAAAAAATGCATAAGTAAATGGCATTTGTCGATAGTTATCGCTGCAATACCAAAACTTTTGGTAGAATATTTTTTACTTTGATTATATGTCTTAGAGTAGTTTTACGTGAAAATCTTGTAGAATTAAATTTATTGTATAGTTCAAAAGCTTGAAAAGTTCAAATTAATCTTTAAAATAATTCTGGCACAATTTCAATTTAAACAAACAAAAAGTGAAATATTTTATCGCATACAATAAGGATTAATACTTTGAAAAAAAAAAACTTCCAATTAAAGTTATTTTTGAGAGATAAAATGTAGAAAGCTTAAAAAAAAGATACAATGAAAATTGCATTTGATTAGAACTAATAATAAATACATTAACGCAAGAATTGAGATTTAATTTATGATTTCAGTCAATAAAATCACGACAAATATTAATTAAAATTTACTAATTAGTGCAGCAAATGAGTGATAGAAATTAAAAACATAATATCATACAATTAGTCTGCCATTAGTTATTGTTTTATTTTTTCTTATTGAAAATGTATAGTGCTTTTTTCCCATAAAAACAAATCAGTTATACACACTTTAGAAAACAATCATCATTTGAGATACAAATTTGTTCAGCTCTTAGAATATATTAGAATGACTAACATACATAAATTTAGAGATCAATTAAAGATCAAATTTGCAGTAACTTCTTTAATGGTACTTAAAAATTTCAAACGTTTAGTGACCGAGAAGTTGAATGTAATATTGTTGAGAATGGTTTATAAAAGATAAACTAACACCTTAAGCATATTCCTCCCTCTATTAGCTGAATGGAAAGCTTTATTTCCCTTCACTATTATACTGATAACATTGCTATTTGCACTGTAGTTTGAATGAAGTTGCGAGTAGATTGCGAGTTTTGTGCAGTAAAATCAATTTAAGAGAAAAATTGAAATAGGTCACTAATTTACAAAATTACAGTGTTCTCAACGGGGTGACATGAGGACAGTCTGCCATCTCAGTAGTTAAAGCCAATAACAAAATTCTTAACTTTTCCCGTCGCTTAATACATTTAATATTGCCATTTAAAATGCCAGCACTTTATCACTTATCAGTAATTGCTTATCACTAAAAATGAAATAAGCCAAATAACGACCAAGAACAAAACATTTACAGCAAATACTTCACTTGTTAGCATTCATTTAAGGGTCAATCTCAGCATACTATCACTGATATCAATCTGCTGAGGAAGGTGAAATGAAGAATGTTAACAAAATTTTCCCACCACTATTTTGAAGCTCTAATGCTTTACCTGATTGCTAGTTCACATCGTTACAAATATATTCACACATAAGTAACATTCCAATGTGATTTGCAAATTTTTCTAATAAAGCTTTTTGATGTTTTAAAAATTCAAAATTTTCCTAATTCTTTTATTTGAAATCTGTGCAGATCAAATTAAAGAACGTGCTCACATTTTATAATCAAAGCTCAGAAGCAGTGACTTGATTACACAATTTTTGGTCTACTTGACAGTGATATTAGCTATCACTCCAACATTTACTATATAACTGTCATCAAATAACAAAAATGAAATAATATTAAAGAACGAAAATAAGTTAAAAAGAATAAAAATAAACTAAAGTAAAATGCTTTAAATGCAAGCAGTCAAATTTGCGAAGGCATCATTTAAAGCGGAAGTAGCAATGAAATAATGGAAGTGATCATAATTTCTGAATATATTAAATATTCTAAAAGCATTTCGATAGAAGAAGTATTATCAGAATGATAGAAGCTTATTGCTGTTAAGTGAGTCAATATTTTTTGATTATGTCAGTGACACATTCTTTGCTCTTCGAGAAGTGATAATAATTTTTAATTCCCACGTGTGAAAAACACGTGGGAATTAAAAATTTTGCATGAGTTTTTCTTAATAAAAATTAAAAAAATTTCAGCATTTAATAATTAGCTACTAAAAAATGTGCCATATGAAATAGCGCATACAACTCCTCATTAGAAAAAAAATTTAGCACATTAATTTCAGCACTTTTATAAATTGTGCCATAAAAAATTAAAAATATTATATTACAAAATGATTATTAGTTTTTTCGTAATTCTTTTTGAAAAGTCGAAAAAAAAA